AATCTATATGCTTTCTTTCATTAATTGTTAGGGTTTTTCTTCTATACTCTATGCATGTTTTGTTTAACCCATTCAATTGCATGATCATTGATGTTATTTGTATGGACACATATAAGTAAATCTAGAACTCAAGAAATTCTCCAAAGAGCAATATTGCCTAGACATAGGGATAGGAGGATTGGTTGCCTTTAAGCTTCTGTGCGAATGTAATGCATGAATAATTGCTAGGGAGACAAGACATTGTAAACTAGTGATTAGGAGTAGGCTTTCTTCCCCGAGCATTGGGTTTAAGGTAAATTAGAAAGTCGCATTAACATTAATGAAGAAAGATGAATTCTTGAATACATGAGAGTGAATAGGATGAATCGGAAACCCCAACAACATAATCATTCATATTATACATCAATTTTTTTTTCATTTTTCAAGTCCATTGATCAAAACTTTGCATTCATGTTTATTTTTCATAGTTCAACAACAATATTTTCGGTTACAAGTCTAAGATAATCAACAAATCACATAACTGTTTAGGCCGTGAGTCCTTTGGGAAACGATACTTGGTCTTACTTGATACGGTTCTGTATACTTGCCGAGGGTTAACACCCCCACTTTGACACTATAAAACCTAGGTCAGATTTCACAAATGGGCCTTTTAAAAAATAACCCAAAAAACGGTCCAAAAGGTAAATCTGCCCAATAATCCACTAAAACAAAATTACAATTTAATTCTAAACTAAAATGCCGACGTCGGAAGTGAAGAATGACGTGGCAACTCTCTTGATGTCCCAAAATAATATTCCAAAAATTTCATGCAGTTAATAATGAAAATAATTAGCTTAAGATAATTCAAATTAATTAAAATAAGAATTTTTGGTCAAATTAAGCACAATTAACAAAACTTGAGAAATAATGGACATTCCAGCACAATTTTCTAATTAAATCTAGTACAATAAGTTAAGTGAAGTCGAGAAAATATTGACTCATCACATATCACAACTTTATTTGTACCTACAAACCACAAAATTATGATTAGACTACGACGTTAGGAACACTCAAAACAAAGAGTCTTATAGAAGACTTAGACAACACATGTAAAACACAATTGGCTCGCATGCAAGGAAAACAAAATAGATAAAAAAAAACAAGAGAAACTAACTTCCTATTATGCAAAATCTAATCGGATAGACTTGAAGATCTCACTTTAAAGATCGCTCAGACAGTTTCATCTTCAAACAGATGATCAAGGAGTTAAACTCATAAATAAGGTAAAAAACTCTAAAAAAATGATTTTTAGAAGATTGTATGTTTTAAAATTATGAAACTCGTTCATATCAAAATTATTTATATTAAAACATTTTAATTTTAAAATAGTCGAATATATATATATATATATATATATATATAAAATAATTTTGTATATAGATATAGATAAACTGCGTTAAATGTTTAAGTAGAGAATTTAATCCATAACCAGCTGAAATTACAATTTGTAATAGTATTGTGAGTGGTGGAAAATTCATTAGAATTTTACTTTTAAAGAGTCGAAGGAATTTTTTTTTATAATCTTTTTCTTTTGATTAATTTTTAAAAGTGTTGACTTCTGGTATTTTTTTATAAGCTTTTTCTTTTCATTAAGTTTGAAAGAGAAATTGGAAAACTTCAATAGAATTACACTTTTCAGAGATGAAATTCCGATTTTTCAATATCAATAGTATTATTTCAAGTTGCAAATAAAAAACTGAGTTCCCAATTTAAATAGTAAATATATTTATTCTGGTAAATTATATTGAGACACTGATCTCGGGAAATTTTTTTTGAAAGGTTAAGTAAAGGAATAATTTGTGTGCCAAAACAATATTATATATATATATATATATATATATATATATATATATATATATATATAATTGACTGAGTGCGGTAAAAGTGAAAAAATGAGTAGTGGGAAAAATAGGCGTCCAGAGATTATTGGGTTAAGAAGCAGAACAGTTGGCAATAGCTAGGACAGTTTTTGTTTGAACCACAAATAAATTTCTGGCGATCTCTGCGTCTTTCCTACTTCTCCTGAATCTATTAACAAACACCTTTCAGTCACAGGTACGCTCCTCTCTTCTTCCCTTTCAGATCTACGCGATTCTATTGCTTCCCCTCTCCAATTCCACGCCGTTTCTTGTGCCTCTTTTCTCTTTCTTCTCTCTTCGTTATGCATAAATATAAATTAAATACAAACGCTGAACTGCACCTTAACTAGATTTGGATCTTTGCTTCTTAAATTATTGTATCAACGGAATTTCTGGTTAGCTTTTCTAGGTTTTTGATCTAAAACCAACTACAAATAATAATAACGATTTGGAGAAGTTTTTCAGGGGAAGTGACTAATCTTACTGACTAAATAAGAAAATTAATGCTTAATGAATTGATATTCCAACACATCTATGCCTGTATGTGTTTTCACGTTCGTGGTACTTAGTTACACTTGAAAGTGAAATTTTCACTTCAGAGAAGTTAGATCCAAATTATACCGTGTAAAATTTGTGATTCTGTAATTGGATGATCCTGCTTGCCGTTAATTTCATTTTTAAGTTCACTGCCCCGTATTTGGTTGCATTTTTTTTGCAAGATCGTGAATCGCGCCCGAATCTTTACCTCAACTACAGTTTAAAATTGAATCATGTGAAACTGCAATTTAAAATACTTTACACATTAAAAACCTAATTTTAATGGTTGCAGACGTAGTTTGAAGGTGTTTTTGTCTTTGCAAATCAATCTAATTACGGTCTATGTATTGCTGCATGCTTCCTTCTGTATGATGTTGCTATAATTAATTCGTCTAATGATTTTTCTCGCCCTTTGTTTGGAAGGAGAAGAGTATTTGTTTGGTTTTTGTAACATCTTTAGTTCAAAATTTCAAGTTTGATGATAGAATCAGTTGTGTCTTGTTACTGTTGCACTCCTTTCACTTTTCCGAATTCCTAGGTAGAATGAAGGCGGTTCTTTTGCCTAATTATTGATGTGTTGTCGGAGGAGTTGCTTCGTGTTAACCAATTCACCATTTGTAAATAGTTTCTGTCTGTGTCATGACAGAATGGCATCCAACAGGGGTCAAGGTGGAATTCAACAGTTGTTGGCTGCAGAACAAGAGGCCCAACGGATTGTGAATGCTGCAAAAGCTGGTATTTTCTATCTTCGTTATCTTTCATGTCTTCCCATCTTTTTCCTGATTTCGTCTAATATTTGGTCTGGTTACGTGTTTTCCTTAAAAAAATTATGTCTGATTCAATTATGTGTCCAGAGAGACCTGTTTTACTCTCTATTCATTTTATACAGGTCTTTTCTCTTTTACCTGGAAGGATGGATTCTTGGTTTATTGATGGGATGAATTCTTGCTTCTTCATAAATGTTATAAAACAAAGAGTTTTTACTATATAATGACTTTTACATGGTTAACTAATTAGAAATCACTTTAGATTTTACTTTCCAAATAGTTCATGCTTGGTCGGAATAAAGATTTTTATACTAATTAGAAAAATCACGCCAAATTTTACTTTTAAATAATCGTAAGTGTAACTTTGAAGTAGTTATAGTGAAGGTAGCAAACTTATATAGTGGTAGTATGCAATTGTACGACAACATGAAAATATTTACACCTACACTTCATTGTAATGAAGTTCTAAAATATTAATGGACATACCATGCTAATAATCTTTTGATTGGATGATTGTGCAAAATAGATTTACATGGTTAAGGCATTCTCATTATATTCTAGAACAAATTCTCTTTGAAATTTTTGCTATGACATGATAGTGCCAAACCGCCAACTTTCAGCCACCCCTATAGTTTTTCGTATTATTGTTAATTATGTATTTTATCACAAATATCTCTTTTTTGTAACCTTATCAATACTGTCCTCTGCATGTCTACTCTTAGAAAAACTGGCCAGGTTGAAACAAGCCAAAGAAGAGGCTGAAAAAGAGATTGCAGAGTACCGAGCTCAACTGGAGCGTGAGTTTCAAAAGAAAGTTTCAGACGTAAGTCTATATGATTATATTTGATGGTCTTAGACTAGTCCATTACAATATTCTAATTTGTGATGTTACATTACATTAATAATACAGAGTACTGGTGATTCTGGAGCTAATGTCAAGCGGCTTGAGCAAGAAACTGAAGCAAAAATTCAGAACCTGAAAACGGAGGCTGCAAAAATTTCGGATGATGTTGTCGCCATGCTTCGTACGTATGTTACAAGTGTGAAAAATTAGGACCCTTTGATATACATTGGTGCCGAGGACCCCTAAATTATGATTATTATTATGCTGAGTTTATTCTTTACTCTAGATATTGTGGTGAGGATAAGATTCTTGTTTTGGTTATAATGCTTAGTACCTTGCTGCGCTGTGTTGAAAGAAATAACTTGAAAAATTTGTTAAAATAAACAGTTCAGGATTAAAAGACGTGTATATTTTTGTGTTGCCGTTTTAACGAGTGCATGAGGACCAATTCCTCCCCTGTTTATAAATGTCGAGTCAAATTGTATGGCAAAATTCCAATATTCAAATGCAGTACAAGCAATATAGTGGCACGTCTATCAAAGGTTGGGCCTTTGCAAAAGGTACATTAATGGGTAAGAGGATGCTTGTTTATAGTTTTGTGACTTTTTGTTGTCAATGACAGTCCTACTGCCGAATTTAAGCTACATAAGAGATCGATCCATAAACTGCATTTCTTTTTACAGTGGTAGATGGATGATGGGATAGACTATTGTCAATTTTTGGGATATTTAGTTGGAAAATACAAGGTTGAAGGTAACCTTTTCTATACAATACGCACATGATCCTGTTTTTATGGAAGAGACGTTTTAAATATGGTGGTCACTAAAAAGATTTTAAGATGTTTTGAATTGAAATTGCGACTCTGAATTTTTTTAAGGGTAGATTCAGATAAGTGGTGTGGCTTGAAGTAGATGACAATTATATGCAAACTTTCTGAACCGTAGGATGCTTAAATTTCCCTTTGTGTACTTGGGAATTTTTTTTGGAGCAAATTCAAGGAAGAAAAGTAAATGGGTTCCCTTGTTGAAAAGTTTTCTTAGAAGCTGGCTTTAGGGAAACACAAGTTGTTTGTTTCAACGGTGTGTTTAATCAAATTAGTTTTTGCTTCTTCCATTATTTTTCAAGTCTTTCTACAATATGCCTTAATGGATTAACACTGAAATCATTAATATACATTGAGAAATTTTTGTGGGAATTGGAGAGGATAATCATAATATTGCATGGTGGTGTTGCAATAGGAATCATGATAGATTAAGAATTAATGGTATTTATACTTTTAATGTAGCATTAATCGTTAATGGAGATGTGCTATTTTCAAGGGTTGATGTGTTAGTGTTTAAGTATGGTGACTAAAGAGTTGGGTTGTTGGTGGTGGAGACATGAGGAAGGTGTGTGAAAGAAAACACTTCCAGGTAATTTTAGAATATGGTGTGAGATGTAGGAGATGATGAAAACAAGATTTTTGAAGATATGACTTGGTGACGATTGCTTTACTAGAGGGATGATAGATTACCTTTGAATACTAAACAACAATAGTTATTCATTTAAAATATGGGTGGGTGAGAAAATGCGTTTGGGAGAAGTAGTTTTATAGATAAAACTAAAATTAATTTTTTATAGATAAAATTAATTGACGCATTTGTTTAGAGAAGTAGTTTTATAACAATTTTATCCACTTTAATTAATGAAATGAAATGTAAAATGTGATATTTATATTTATTTTTTACAAGTTTTTAATTTGATAGATGTAACAAGAATTCATTTCCCATTAGGTGAACAAGAAGAATGACTAGAAAATCGTGTGATAGATCCTTACTTATCTTTATCTTCTTTCCTCCGCCCACGTATCTCTTTCCTTTCTTCTTCTTTTACAGCTACAATTCTTTTTCCTCCACTATCATGGTACCCCTCTTCCATCGACACCTTCTCTCCTTTTTTTTTTTCTTCCACTAGCACGACACTCTCTCCTCCCCTTTATTTCCTCTACTAGCACACCATCCCCTGCTCCCCTTCTTCTTTCTCCACCTTCACGACAACCCATTCCCCCCTTCTTTTTCTTCATTGACCTCTTATCCCCTTCTTCTTCCATTGGCATGCAAAGGTTAACTAGTATGAAGGATACAAATGATAATTGTACCATATGACCGAACGGTTATACAGTTCACGAACTCCACATGACCCCCGACGACCAACAAAGAAGACATAATGGCTGGCCGGGACGGTCGACATCCTAAACCCAAATGATTAATGTTAAGGAGATTAAGGTAAATCATGTTTAAGGGTATTGGATCGGGATTGGGCCCAGATTAAAATATCGCTAATCCTAAGCCCATGCCCAAAAACTATAAATATAAGTCAAAGGTAAAAGGTAGGTGGAGGCAATTACTGTGCATTTATTACTGTTATTGTCGTATTAGATAACCTGACGTTTCAATTACTGACTTTGGCATCGGAGTATCTTTAACAAGTACACCCCGGTCGGACTAGCGGACAAGAGACCCAAGGAGCAAGACCGGATGGTGAAGAAGGACAAATTGTGAAGGTATTTAGTGACTCACCCTTACAACCGAAACATTTTGGCGCCCACCGTGGGGCCCAAGTTACTTGATAAACCCAATGGTGACCACGAGAAACATGAGTTATTGACGACCCAGTTGAGATGATCTGGATGCTACAACAAAAAATGGAGGAGATGCAGCAACGCCACGAAGCGGAACTTGTAGCCGTGAGGGCCGAATGCTAGACTCGGATTGCCCAAGAGAAGGGATCGGGTCAAGTGAGAAGGAGGAAGAGGAGCACGCTAGGGAGCGTGGCAAAGCCACTCTGGAAGACAAAACCAAACGTAACAACATGTCGGACGAAACATGGAAACCAACGGAGCCGGAAGTCGAAGTGAGTAAGGCTAAATCCGTTCATGCCGAGAGTGTCGTCGTGAACAAACAGCTAGTAGTGAAGACTGAGAGCTCATCCATCTTGCTTCCTTTTGTTTAGATGATCATGGATATCCACATATCAGAACAGTTCGTTCCGCCCCAGTTCAAGATATACAACGGGACGATAGACCCAGAGGCCCACATCAAGACCTTTACCAACACAATGGCTTTCCGCACAGGCAACGACGCCATCTGGTGCCGAGTGTTTTCCCTTTCACTAGAAGGGGAGGCGCTGGAATGGTTCAATTCACTTCCTCCAAACTCCATAGAGAATTTCGTGAGATTGCAACGCATGTTCAATCGTCAGTTTGCAAGTAGTAGTACTCAGGACTTGACCATCTTCGAGTTGGTCAACCTGAGGCAAGGGAAGGAGGAAACTTTAAAAGCCTTCATGGATCACTACCAGAAGACCGTATGACGGGTAAAGGGTTTGAGCCTGGAACTCACCCTCCAGTACGTTCTGCCCGCCTTCAAGCCCGAACCTTTCAAGAATAGTGTTTGCCGACGAGCTCCTAAAACCATGAAGGAGCTTTGAGAGAGGGCGGCCGATGAAATAAGGGTAGAAGATATGAAGTAGTCGTATAAAAAGGAGATCCAGGAGAGTAAGGGAGATAGGACCGACAGGAAAAAGTCGGACGGTCAATCTAGAAAGCCCGGAGGGTTCAAGCAGAGAGAACCACCTCGGGGACCACGATTCCAGTAGTACACCCCCCTTAACGCTCCTCGGGCAAGAATATTACAGGAGGCCTTGAGCACTGGCTTAATCTAGGAATCGAAGAGACGACCCATGCCGCCTTGGGTAGACGACAACAAACACTGTTCTTACCACAAGAACATGGGTCACACTACGGAGGAGTGCGTGACCCTAAAGGACAAGATTGAAGAGTTGATATGAACTGAACAACTAAAGTAATATGTAAAGGTTGACCGCCTCGAGGCATCACTACAACAACCGCGAGGTCCTCGGCGAGTGAGCTCGCGGTGGCCGGAGAGGCATGAAAGATCGAGGCATGGTCGGACGGACCATTCTTGGTCTGATAGACGACATAGCCATAGCCGCAGTAGAAGCCATGACCTTCCCTTACGAGGGCACATTAACACTATATTCAGAGGATTCGCATGTGGGGGTTCATCCTCGTTCGCTCGAAAGCAACATGTGCGAGCTTTGCGGTCCGTCCACTCGGTGGACAAGCCACGGAGAACCATGCCACACATCACCTTCACGGACGACGATTTCCATGCACCGGATCTCGACCAGGACGATCCGATGGTAATTACGGCAGAGATCGGCTGGTATAGTGTCAACAAAGTATTGGTCGACCAGGGGAGCTCGGTGAACATCCTCTACTGGAAAGCTTTCCAAAAGATGGATATCTTAGACGACTTAATTGTCCCATACAACGAGCAGATAGTAGGTTTCGCGGGCGAAATAGTGGATACTCGAGGCTACGTCGATCTACGCACTCGTTTGGGAACCAGTCGGGACAGCGAGGAAAAGAGGGTTAGATACCTGTTGGTGGAAGCTAACACCTCCTACAATGTGCTCTTGGGCCGACCGTGTCTGAATGCCTTCGGAGCGATCGTGTCAACCCCATACCTTACCCTAAAGTACCCGTTTGTCAAGGGCATGATTTGTACAGTCCGAGCTGATCAGAGGACGGCGAGAGAATGTTACGTGACTGGCCTAAAGCTCCACAACCGGATGGTCAGAAGAAGAACGAGTGGGTTGGAAGTGGCCATGGCAGACCTTGATCCACGAACAAACACCGAAGACCGACTGGAGCCGCGGGGGGAGACACAACCGGTCTTAGTAGGGAAAAACGCCTCCCAGACCACGACTACGACCCGTTTGCTGGAACTAGGGCTGGAAAGAGAGATCAGGTCCGTCCTTTGGCGAAACAGAGACTTGTTTCCATGGACGACCACCGATATGCTGGGAATCCATCCCTCTGTCATGTCACACAAATTAGCATTGTTTAAGGAAGCACGACCGATAGCTTAGAAGAAGCGGCGAATGGGGGAAGTTGAGGGAGGCGGAATTCATTAGGGAGGTGAGGTATACCACATGGCTCGCCAATGTGGTTAT